AAGGAAGGAAGGAAGGAAGGAAGGAAGGAAGGAAGGAAGGAAGGAAGATAGATTCTAAATGTTTTGGACTAGATAAAAACTCCTGTAAGCTCCATCAGAAAGATTAGTTAAGTAGGGTACCAATACATTCTAAACAAACATTTCCTATCAGTTTAAAAAAAAATATTAAAGCCAGGGACTTTAACTGGTTGGCCAAGGATGAAAAGGTGGAGTAGCCATCACCTTTACTCATCTCTTGGAGAGGGGACCTTTTGAGAGTCTCTGCTCACTCATGCAGACCTTTAGAGCAAATCTGAAATACAGGTGAAATTCAACCTTCCATGGACATAAATCTTTGCATCTCACGTTCTGAGAGCACAAATGACTTTTGGGACTCCATTCTGTTTTTCTTGTGATGGCAAAGGATGGTTACAGCCTTCGCATATATAATCTGCCCTCTGGAATATTCTTGGTTAAACAAAAAATAATGCCTCTTAAGTGGGAAGAAACATCATAAAACAATTATGGGGATTTGCAGGGAAGCAACAACATACAAGGAATGTTGATTGAAGGTCAGCCAGTTTGGGGTAATGGTTAAAGCCCCAGACTAGAAATCAAGAGACGGAGAGATTTAATTCTGCCTTAAGCACAAAACTAACTGGGTGACTTCTCTCTCTCTCTCTCTCTCTGTCCTAGGAAGCGAAAATCAAGGGGGGATTGGGGGAAATCGCTTTCGAAAAAACTTGCCAAGAAAACTACAAGGGATTAGTCTCCAGAAGTCAACAATGATGTGAAGCCACACACACAAAGATCTGCGCACATTTAAACAAACAGGAGACATTGGTATCGAATTGTGCAATGCTAGAACCCGTCTTACAGATTCTCAATAGATTTTCTATGTCCCCTCAAAGAGGATTCTGTTTTTCCAGCACGGCCTTAGTGCTTCCAAATATTGTTTGTCCCCCTCCCCATTGTTCTCAATCACTTTTCTGAATTGATTTTATGGTTTTCTCGTACGCCCCTTAAACTGTCATCTGCGGCCTCTTTGCATGGGCCACACTTTTTGATACGGAAATATTCTGATGGGGGAAGGAATATAATCCCATCTTAGAAAACGAAAGGAAGGTGAAAGAGGGGGAATGGAAGGCTACCGAGGAAGAGCATGAAGGTGGAGTTGAAATAGAGGATTTTTTTTACACCCAACACTTGTCCATCTCACTTTGTGGAGAGAAAAAAAGATGCGGAGACTCTAGAAAGAGTGCAGAGAAGCGCAACAAAGAGTTAGGGGACTGGAGGCTAAAACATACAGAGAAGGGTTGCAGGAATTGGATATGCCAATTTAAAAGAAGGAGTAGGGGTAACATGATAGAAGTCTTCCAATATCTCAAAGAAGAGAAAGTCAACCCATTCTCCAAAGCACCTGAAGGCAGGACAAGAAGCAACGAATGGAAACTAATCAAGGAGAGAAGCAACTTAGAACTAAGGAGAAATTTCCTGACAATCACAACAATTAATCAACTTGCCTCCAGAAGTTGTGAATGCTCCAGCACTGGGAGTTTTTAAAAAGATGTCTGAAGTGGTGTAGGGTTTCCTGCCTAGGCAGTGGGTTGGACTAGAAGATCTCCAAGGTCCCTTCCAACTCTGTTATTTTATTCTATTCTAATAGTTGTAGCCCAGGGTTGAACGGTGGGGTCCTGAGCTCAGAAAACATCAAAGAACATGCATCAAGCATCATGCAGCCATTTGCTGGTGAGATTTTTTTTTAAAAAAAATCAAGGGTGGGCTCAAACCTTCTTACTGAAAACATTGGGATTTTATTTTGGGAATGTGCCAGATTTGAACCAATCCTTGACACGCGCAGAACCCAAAAGCTTTAAGCGATAACAGGAAATGTGAGTCTCCCCTCCCCCCCACCCACCCCCCAAAAAAGATTTGTACTTACTTCTGGATAATCCCATCGCCGCAGTAGCCTTTTCCATGAGTGTAGGACAGGGTGGGAGAAGGTTCGCTTTCTTTTTGTTCAGAAACCACAGAAACTCGATAATGGTACGGCGTGCCGTCCTTCAGCTCACTGCAAATGAAGTGGGGGGAAAAAAAAGAGAGATAAGTGAGTCTGACAATGAGAACCTTAAAGAACCTGGGCATGATGTCCACTTCCTTGAAAAACCTTGGGTTGTTTTTTTTTTTTTTTTTGCAAGATGTAGTGATGCTGTGTTTGTTTATTTATTTGTGAGGGTCTTTGGGGGCTCACTGAGTTTGGCTGTTTTCTTGCGGTTGTTTCTTCACCCAACTAGAGGACAATGCTAGAAAGGAGTAGAGCATGAGGAGGAGGGGGAGGAGGAAGGGGAGGACAATGACTATGGGGGTCCATGGTGCTCTCTGAGCTTGATGGTTTCCTTATAGATATTTCATGACCCAACTAGGTAACATCATCTGGGTTAGAAGGTAGTGAGATTTGGAGGAGGAGGATGAAGACGACTGTGGGGTTCTTGGTGCTCTCTGAGCTTGGTGATTTTCTTGCAGACATTTCATGACCCCAACTAGGTAGTGTCATCAGTGCTAGAAGGGAGTGAAGTGGAAGGGGGTGTGGAAGAAGAGGAAGAGGAGAATGAGAATGAGAACTGTGGGGTCCTTGGTGCTCTCTGAGCTTGGTTGTTTTCTTGCAGACCTTTCGTTACCCAACTAGGTAACATCATCAGTGCTAGAAGGAAGTGGGGTTCTTTCATTTCCTTCAAGCATTGAGCTTCCTTAACTGGGTCATGAAACATCTGCAAGAAAACCACCAAGCTCAGAGAGCACTAAGGATCCCCCACCCCCGCAGTTCAATCCTGAACTTCAGATATTCTCTTCTCTTGGTTCTGTAGTTATTTCTCAGATCGATATGACCGCCTATCTCACAAAAAAGCAGGGCATGCGGGAGACAAACAGACTTAGCAAATCCAGCGTGGACTTCCATACAACCGTGTGTCACAATCGCTCGTGTATCTTTGGAGAGAATGGATGGAGAGGAGCACCAGGTCCTTCCCGGTCAGGCGCTCCAACTCAATGCAAAGGCATGTTGAAAGCAACTCAAAACCCACAGTTCCCGAGGGGGTCCTTCCAAGTCATCCTATGCCTCCTGCCAGTGTTTTGCAAGCCATGACATTTAAAGGTTGTTTAAGAAGAGAAAGAGGCTTAAGTCAAAGAAACCGCTTCCACCACATCGGTGAATGAGAGTGGCCATCCTCTAAATGAAACCCAGATTGTCGGGTTGTGCAAAAATTAGCCAAATCATCCACTCTATAAAGTATGGGGTTTTTGTTTTTTAATGTTACTGGATTGTTTTGATTATTTCCAATGAAAGGGTTGCATTGTCTAAAGCTTGCAAGGTTCGGCCCTTGTTTGATTTGCTAAAGAGATGAGCACGGAAGCCAACTAATTTATTCCTCTCTTAATAAGACTTGTTTTATTCCCAGGAGTGGCTTTGTACTAATTCATTTTAACATCTGAGAGCAGGGGAGGCGGGGTCACACTATTTTAATATTTGGGATTTGGGTTTAGATAGAGGATTGCCCCATTTAGCTTTTTTATGAGGGATTCCAAACCAAAGCCTTTATTTCCTTATTGAAGTATTAAAGCTTGTAGCAACCAAGTGTCAGACTCATCCCTTTGTTTATGCCAAGAACACAGGAAATTTACAACAATAAACAGTAAGGGACATAAAGCAATCGCTACCCAAATTAAAACCAATCATTAAAATAATGAAAAACTTTGAGAAAGAGGCATCTTTTTAACATCTTTCTAAATACTAGGGGGGAGAGAGAGAGAGAGAGAGAGAGAGAGAGAGAGACTGAGACTTTTAAGACAATCTGTGTTGAGCATTTATGTCTAATTTTAAATGACAATTGCCCGACTGCTGGATGTTTACATTTTACAATTAAGCCACAATATCTTTGCTTCATCTTCTTCATGTAAAAGAAGATATGCAGCATGAAGTAATAAGTTTCCTGAGGGAAAGGAAGAAGGGAAGTGGTGAGAGTAAAAGGAAGGAAGGAAGGAAGGAAGGAAGGAAGGAAGGAAGGAAGGAAGGAAGGAAGGAAGGAAGGGAAGGAGTGTAAAAGAAAGGAAGGAAAGAAAGAAGGAGGGAAGGGAAGGAAAGGAGTGAGAGTAAAGGATGGAAGGAAGGGAAGAAAGGAAGGAAGGGAAGGAGGGAAGGAGGAAGGGAAGGGACAAGGAAAGTGTCTAATAATTATGTACATTATTTGGCCTTTTTAAAAGAAGATAAGGATTGCTATTAGTAGAAGTTAGTAGCTATTCGGTTATGGGGTTGGTGCTGCTACCGTGTTGTTTTAAATATGGAATCCTGCAGATTATCCTTTCCAAGGAGAAAGAAGGAAAGGTGGCAGGACAGAGGAAAAAACTCTTGAGAACATTTTCAGCGATGCGCCACAAAATGGATAAAGAGCTCCATTCAACCAGATGGCTATTTCCAGCCAGAGGAAAGTCTCTGTGAATCATCAAGCTGGTGTCCTTTTTCTAACCGATAACGGAACAGAACATCCTTCTACCCAAAGGGGACCAGAAGCTAACAAATAATTCAAATAAGAGTCGCTCGAGAGTATGACCTCATCTGTCCTCTCAAATGAACCTTCCTATCAACTTCCCTTCCTCTTTAATTGCTCATCATGTCCCCAAGTTGTCCTCCTCTTAGGCAGTTAATCTCCTCCCAAATTCACTTAGGGGTATTTTCCCAGACTGAATTTCCAGCGCTGGAGAAACTGCTGGGACCTCAAAGGCCAATTCTGTGTGCACTCCAAAACAAAATTCACGAAGCCATGTCTAGTCTAATGAAGAGAAGGACTAGGGGTGGACTAGATAGAAGACCTCCAAGAACTGTTGTCCCAAAAGTGATTCCCCCCACCCCAAAGGCAACTGGACTTCCTTGGTTTTTCCTTTGAAAACATAACAGAATGACAGACTTATTCTTTTTTTAATTTGATTTGTCAATCACTTACAAGATAAGAGGTATAAGTATAAACATGAGTAAGATTACAGGAAATAGTTGTACCTATAAATGGGGGCAATAGGACAGGGACACTAGGCACGATGGGGCACTTATGCACACCCCTTACAGACCTCTTAGGAATGGGGTGAGGTCAATAGTGGTTAGTTTGAGGTTAAAGGAGTGGGGGTTAGAGGATGTAATAGAGACAGGTAATGCATTCCAGGCATTGACCACTCTGTTGCTGAAGTCATACTTTCTGCAATCGAGTTTGAAGCGGTTTACACTGAGTTTGTATCTGTTGTGTGCTATGGTATTGTTGTGGTTGAAGCTGAAGTAGCCATTGACTGGTAGGACATTGTAGCAGATAATTTTGTGTGCTATGCTTAAGTCTAACCATAGGCGGAGTAGTTCAAGGACTGACTTGGAAGGCACCTTGGAGGTCTCCTAGTCCTCAGGTAAGAGACCCTATACCATTTATGTTGGAGAACCCACAACTTCTGGAGATAAGCTGTTCTATTGGTTAATTATTCTCACTGTCCGGAAAGTTCTAGGTTGCTTCTCTCCTTGATTAGTTTCCATCCATTGCTTCTTGTCCTGCCTTCATTGGAGAATTGGTTGACCTCCTCTTCTTTGGGACAACCTCTCAAACACTAGAAGGCTGCTACCACATCACCCTCTAGTCGAGGAGTCTTCAAACTTGACAGCTTTAAGGCTTGTGGACTTCAACTCCCAGAATTCCTCCTCTAGTCATGTTAGCTCAGGAATTCTGGGAGTTGAAGTCCACAAGTCTTAAACCTGCCAAGTTTGAAGACCCTTGGAAGAGAGAGAGGGAGAGGGAGATAGATACTGTAGATCAGGAGTCTTCAAACGTGACAGCTTTAAGACTTGTGGACTCCCAGAATTCCTCCTCCAGTCATGTTAGCCCAGGAATTCTGGGAGTTGAAGTTCACAAGTCTTAAGCTTCCCAAGTTTGAAGACCCTTGCCTTCTTTTCATTAAACTAGACATATCCAATTTCTGCAACTGTTCTTCATACATCTTAGCCTCCAGCCCCCTAATCATCTTAGTTGCTCTTCTCTGCACTCTTTCAGCTCATTGCACTTCTCATCCAAGAACTTGTTCATTGAGTTCTTGAATAAGAAGCAAAACATTGTCAAAACAACAACAACAACAAGGATTTGTCTTTCTGTCTGTCTATTTTGTCTCTGTCTATGTATCCAAAGCAGAAGACAAGAGCAGGATTTGGCAAATTTAAAGAAAAAAAACACTGAAAAACCAGAAGTTCCTTGCATCTCTCTGTTATTACAGCTGGTTGACTTGCTGTTTGGACAAGCTGGAGCAGAAGAACAGGTCAGTGTCCAAGTTTTTTTTGTGTTTGTTGGTTTAACAGGCAGGTGCATCCAAAGCACCTTAGCCAATGTTGGGTCTGATGCAAGCTTACAAACTAAGGAGGCCACGGAACACACAACTGTGAGGGTTAACAGGGTGGGGTTGTGTGGGTTTGCTTGTAGGAAGAAGAAAACCTGCTGAAGATTTGGAGGTCCTAAAGGTCATCTCCAACCCTACTTGTGCAGGTCCTCCTCTTGCTAAAATATTACCTGGGAGGATACCGTAGGGCGTAGGAGGGTGCACTGATGATCTTCCCTAGTTGGGCAATGAAATGTCTGCAGGAAAACAACCCAGCTCAGAAAGCACCAAGGACCCCACAGTTCTCCTCCTCCTCCCTCCGCTCCACAAACCCCTCTCCCTTCTAGCATTGATGATACCTAGTTGGTTCATGAGAGGTCTAAAAGGAAATCACCAAGCTCAGAGAACACCAAGGACCCCTCGTACTACTTCTCATCCTCCTCCTCCTCCTTCCCCCTCCATTCCACAAATCCCTCTCCTTTCCAGTACTGATGATGTTACCTAGTTGGGTCATGAAAGATCTTCAAGGGGACCACCAACCTCAGACAGCAGTAATGACCCCACCGTTCAACCCTGAGCTACAAATATTCTCCTTACTGATATTTTTATTGGTAAGGAAAACTGCAAATGTCTCCAATGTTTAAAGTCAGTTTCTTAATACACCAAATAGAGAACCACCTCCTCCTCCTCCTCCTCTTCTTCTTCTTCTCCTCCTCCTCCTCCTCCCTCCTCCTCCTCCTTCTTCTCCTCCTCCTCTTCTTCTTCTTCTCCTCCTCCTCCTCCTCCTCCTCCTCCTCCTTCTCCTCCTCTTCCTCCTCCTTCTTCTTCCTCCTCCTCCTTCTTCTCCTCCTCCTCCTTCTTCCTCTTCCTCCTCCTCCTTCTCCTCTCAAGAGATGGCTGGGAGTCACACACATGTGAAAAGTTAAGGTGCTCTCAAGTTTGAGGCCTCTTTAAGGAGGGAGGGTCAATTGCATCTGCTTTGGATTCCCAGGAGGACCGAGGAGGAAGCTGCTTGCATTTCAAGCAACAGTTAAAGAAAACAAAAATAAAACAGGACCTATTTTCTTTGGCCCATTCCCTACCACGCTTTTTCAGAAAAGAGGGTGGAAGTACCCCCTTCTCTGTTATCCTCCAGTTTGCAACTGGCCTCACCAACTAAGCCACAGAGAAGCAGTAGATCAAGCTTGCTCCTGTCCACTGAAGAAAAAAGACCCAGGGATAGAGAAGACATATTTTAGATGCGGGGACCGAGCAGCTCTGGCCAAAACAAGCAACAGAAGAAGGGTGAGAAGGGGGAAGGAACTGCGCACAAGTTTAGAAAGGGAATTATTTTTAACATTGTTGAGTAATGCATGCATCCAGCCTTGCTTCCTTCAATCAAACTGAGAAAATGCCATTTGTTTATGCCCAGGAGATTTTGTGGTATTTTAGAATTCACTCCAGCATCTAAATATGGAATGCTATGGTGAAATAACAGCCCATGAGAAAGTGCATAACAATATATATTGTTAGACAGATACAGTACACACACACACACACACTAATATTTTTGACCTCAATCCTTTAACTTTGGAAGAAGAAGGGAGGTGGGGGAGGAAGAGGAGGAGGAGGAGGAGATAGACAATAAGGAGAAGAGAAGGAGAAGGAGGAGAAGATAGAGGAGGAGGAGGAGAAAAGGAGGAGGAGATGGACAATAAGGAAAGGAGAAGAAGGAAAATGAGGCGGAGAAGCAGGAGGAGATAGACAAGGAGGAAAAGAGGAGGTGGAAGAGGAGGAGGAAGAGGAGGAAAGGTAGAAGGAGGAGAAGATACACAATGAGGAGAAGGAAATAATATAAACCTGTTGCCAAATATATGAATTTTGATCATGTTACTATGGGGATATTGCAATATCGTAAGTGCGAAAAACGTCACGTCACTTTTTTCTCTGTGGTTGTAACTTCTAATAGTCACCCAATGAACTGCTGTAAGACTAACTGTCCCTAACCTGAAAGTATCCAATCCCAATTTTTGCCTAGTCAAGCTTCCTCTAGGAAAACCGGACATGCTAGCTTACTTTTTACACAATTGTATTGCGGCACCGACTCCCAAATGCAGGGACATTTTATTTAACATTTCCCGAGTACCATTTTGACAGAATTTGGGTGGGCATGGTGACCCCCCCCACACACACACAAAACAAGTTGTCCCAGAGTTGTGGGTTCCCCACCTTGGCTACTGTCATTGAATTAACAGTTTTGTGACCTGGGCAAAACCTTGGAAGGTCATTCCAAATCTAGAACCATGAAACCATGGCAAATAGTCAAAAAGAGATGCTTCCTTTGAACTTCAGAATAATGAAATTAGATTAGATTAGATTAGAAACAGAGTTTGAAGGGACCTTTTAGGTTTGTGATGGCGAACCTATGGCACACGTGAGCAGCATGCAAACTTACCTCGCTGGGCATGTGTGCACCTCACAGCCGATTTTCGGCCTCCCAAAGTCTTGAGGAAGGCTTCTTGCAGGCTTCTGCAGGCTTTGCAGGCTGAAAACTAGCCCCGTTTCATCACTTCCTATTTTTCGGAAAATACCGGAAGTGACAAAACAGGGCTAGATTACGCGCACATGCGTTGGCTGCATGGGGGTGGGGGCTGCATTGCCTTCTGGGCGCTGGCATGCGAGTGGCACAGAAGCCCAAAAAGATTAGCCACCACTGTTCTAGGTCATACTGCCTGTATTTCCTCCGCAAAGTTATCATTAATACAGTAGCTAGAATTTGTGGGGGAAATGATGGAAGAGAAACATTAAACTCCCAACTTCCTGGTTCTTATTGTTCCAAACTAATTGAATCCTCATAGCATCAGAACATCCAGTCCTAAGATTTTGCCCCCCCCCCCTCACTGAGGAGCAGCCCCCCAAAAAGAGGGCTTGGTTAAGCTATCTTTGTTTATTTCTTATGGAGATTGCTACCCCTGCTGTCCAAATTAAATCTCCAGGGTGATTCACTTTAGTGCATTTCTTGATGCAAGACACAGCAGGAGCCACGCCAAGAACAAGCCTGCAAATACATGTGCAAACAAGCCAACAATTGAGATAAACCTCATCTAAACAACTTCTGTTCTTGAACTGATAGTCTTCAAGCTGCTGAGACCGTACGGTTTTCAAGGGAGAAAACAGTGAGGAATGTGGGTGAATTTCAACATTCGGAGGAGAACAAACCATTTTTAATCTAAAAGAGAAGCGTCTGGAAATTGAGAACATGGTTGAGTTCCTATAGAGGATAAGATAATGGCTTGTATATATTCACACACCCTAGTACATTTGGTAAATATTCATATTTGCTTTGTTTCCAGCTTAGCACCATACATAACATTGGTTAGTTCAGTAACACCAGTTCAGTAGTGAAGATATCGAATAAACTCTAGGAAAACCATGGTTCTAGTTATCCCAAAGGTGCTTTTACAAAAGGCAACTGGACTTCATTTTTGTTTGAAGTTCCCTTGAAGTTTTTTTTGCTTCTCATCATCTTCAAGGAAAAGCAAAGTCCAGTTGTCTTCTGAAGAACTGAAGAAGCTCCTTCAATAAGAAGCAAAACCTCTTCAAGGAAAAAAACGGTGCAGTTGTCTTTTGAAGAACTGAAGAAGCTTCTTGGATGAAAAGCAAAATGTCTTCAAGGAAAAACAAAGTCACAGTGGTCTTTTGAAAAAGTATCTTTGGGACAACCATGACCTGAAGGACTGAGAGTCTCCGTGGTCATAGTCCCAGATCATCTTCAAATTGATTTTCTGTCCAATTATTGGTTGAGTAGTGAAACAGCTCTACCAAGTTTTAACCTGGTTAGGGGTTGAGGATGAAAAGGAGCGTTTTGCAAAAGGGCGACTGGACGGCAAAAAACAGAAGTAAGAACACGCTTACTCCGTTTCAATTAAAGTTCAGAACAAGCAATCAAATTGGCTTACGGTACTTAAAAGTAAAGGTTCCCCTTACATATACGTGCTAGTCGTTTCTGGCTCTAGGGGGCATTGCTCATCTCTGTTAAAAAGCTGAAGAGCCAGCGCTGTCCGAAGACGTCTCCATGGTCATGTGGCCGGCATGACTAAACGCCCGAAGGTGCAAGGAACGCTGTGACCTTCCCACCAAAGGGGTCCCTATTTTTCTATTTTTCTACATTTTTTTCAACATGCTTTCGAACTGCTAGGTTGGCAGAAGCTGGAACAAGCAACGGGAGCTCGTGCCATGACGCGGCGCTAGGGATTCGAACCGCTAAACTGCTGACCTTTCCGACTATGGTACTTACGTGTCTACAAATGTCCGTCTGAGGTCCGAGATGAGAAATGAAGGTCCTTTCTGAAATGGAGGATCCCGGGAGACCTTGTAGTGGATGGGCTGGCACTTTTTACACTGTGAGCTTTGCGGGACCGAAGTGATCATAGCAGCATCGATTTCCAGTTGTTCATCCAAGGTGTAGATCTGTATGCCCCGGACTTCGTCCTTCATCTTTTCCGTATCTAGCCGGATGGTCATGGGGATGTCACAGAAGAAGTTCTGAGGCCCAAGCGAAATGTTTTCTCCACTGACCATCAACAATTTGATGTCGTTTATGGCTTCTTTGGAGTCCCACTCAGGGGAAACGTAAGTCACCCAGATGGTCAGAGATTCTGGGATGACCGGATATTGGAACTGGAGCTGAAGGTAACAACCTTGGGGCTCAGGGCAGGCCGGTGGGACTGTTTGCTTGATGACCGCAGAATTGGGAGTCCACGTTCGTACATCAGGTTTACAGGGCTGTTCTACATCTGGGTGTCCTTGAATAGAGAAGAAGAAGAAGAAGAAGAAGAAGAAGAAGAAGAAGAAGAAGAAGAAGAAGAAGAAGAAGAAGAAGAAGAAGAAGAAGAAGAAGAAGAAGAAGAAGAAGAAGAAGAAGAAGAAGAAGAAGA